CGGTTTTCCTCAAATTCAACTCGCTGCTGTTTAAATATGATTTTAACGGTTGAGATCTCGTGCTCAGGCTGATGGTATTGCTAAGGATTTGCGTTTCTACCTTGGGGAGGACTGGAATTTCACGAACCAGCCAACTCAAGCTGTGCACGACTATATCAAGTAAGCCAAATGAAAGGATTTTTGTCATATTTTGGTATTGTATTGAACTTTATTTGCTGCTTGTCAGACACTTGAAAGAGCTTAAAGAAAAAGTATTGTATGAAAAATAGTTTTAAGTTACTTTCTTGAAACTTTATGCTTTTGCGCCACAGAACCCAGTCCTGGTGCTACCATATTGCTACCACATGTACATGGCCATGCTTGCAGGTGGCATGATGATTAAGAAATTAGTAAGAAGAAGCTTTGCACTACCTGAGGGAAAAGGACTTCATTGTTCTACCTTTGACGTCAAGAGTAACAAGGTTCGAAAATGCGTTCCGGTGATATTTTACGTGCTGGGGTATTTTTTTATTTTTTCAAAAAGTTGGGATTTTTTTATATATGGCAAAAGTTGGGGCATTTTTTTTGTTCTCCCTATGATTTTAGTCTAAACTACCTTGAATATCTATGTTTTACTATAACTCATTATAAAGCTTATGCGTCGCACGGCGTGCCTACAAGTCTCACGGACCTCCATCCTCGCTCTGATTCTAACCAGTATTCGTCACAACACTACTTCTATTAGATTACCATGTGAGGTGTACGCACACCATATAAGCGATTTTTCGGTTAGCTAATCTAAGGGTACAATCATAAAGTATGGAGTCACAATCCCCGTTTGCTGTAGAATGTCACTTTTTTAAATTTTAGAATGTGAAGCACGAAGACACGACGTCAAAAGTTGAGGACTGATAAATGGAATAGTGAAACAGCAATTGATTTCATTGCAACTTGTCAAATATTGGGCTCAGTTTATCTTTAAGACGTAAGGATTCTCCTCGAAGCCTAACTTAATCGTACATTTTCTTATACCATGCCTTGTAAAAATGTGTGTTTGAGATGGAATATATGCTGAGTGTTGAAGCTGTTACTCAGCAAATCTAGAGACTGAGCGGTGTGGGAAGCCTATAGCAAGATTACTGTTACATCTCAATGATAGATATGACCTTTATCGAATAATTTATCTTCTTTTTGATGCTCTAATGATGAAAAATCAACGGCTCATGTTCTTAAGCATGTTGTTTAGAATAAAAAAACCTGATCGCTTTGCTCTTTCTTTTCAACATGACCTAGCCGTAAATGCAAGACATTGACAATTTTGTATCCACCCTAGCTGTAGTTATTCAGATCAATCCGAACTCAAGTACCGATCCCTTACTTAGAGCGTCATCCTAGTCATATGAAGGCTCAATTCGAGATGTAGCAAACAATCAACTTCGTTTTTCTCGTGTGGAGACTGGTTATTTAAATGTGGAAGAAATCCAGTTTGTTCCTACGCGAACTAGAGTTCGGTCGAACTTATTTTTCTATTATATTGAACATTCGGTCGCACCACGTGGTGAGGTAAATCGCTTTCGTCAGTAGTCCCTATCATTGAGTGGCGTCTTTTCGATATGTAAGGCTCGATCTTCTTCCACGGATTGAAACTTGCGCGTGACATTTGATCGACTGACTATCTAAGTGAGGCACAAAGTTTACCGATGCTTGAAAGAAGCTTGCTTCATTTCCTAACATCATGGCTTCTTGCCATATCAAATTTACGCTGTTCGCGCATCTTCTTTCTTTCTTGCTGGTGGTAGTCAAAATAAACGCAAGTCTCTGGCCAACAAATGGAATTTGTGGCTCTCGCGTACGATACTCATGGGATACATTAAGTGTCAGCGACAAAAAGTTGTATCGCGATGCAATCGCCACTGCAATGAGTACGGGATACCATGCCCTCTTTGTGGAAGTGCACTCGGATCGTGACTCCTTTAAAGAGGCTCACAACACGTGTGGAATGATGTTTTGGCATCGCCGCTTCCTACTCGCGTACGAAGAAATGCTGCGAAGCCTCGATACGAGATTTGCGTGCATAACAATTCCTTACTGGGACTATTTCGGTGACTATGCCAAATTTTCAACCAACTTGTGCTTGAGTTTTGAAAGCTGTTCGACGTTTCTCAAAGACATGGGAGGTAGCACTGGGCCTTTCACATCGCTATTGATCAACGGTAATGTTGTCAATGGTAATTGTGTCAATGGGTTATCGTCGCCGTATACAAACTTCACAGCCTTTTGTGAGAAATCTGACATGAATGGTTCGACCTGCTCGGGTTGCATCCCTCGGGGTTCATGGTCGACAACAAACTATCCATCAGGCTTCTTTTACTCGTCACTAGCAAAATATATCAGTCTCCAATTTGGCTACGCATGGTTCTCTCAAAATATTCACTATGGGCTACACCAGTCAATTCACAACGCGGCAATGGGCGCTTTAGCCTCGCTGCCAACATCTGCAGACCCTATCTTTTACAACCATCAGTACGTTATCGATATCTTTTGTTTTACGTCTCGATCACCTTGAAATTATTTTTGATCTTGTTGACAGCGCAACTGTGGACTTAATTCATCAACTGTACTTTGACTGCCAGATTGGTAGAACCCTGACAGACGTGGAGAAGCAAACTGGAGAATATGCCTTTCAAACTTGTACTCAAGCTAACTATACTGGGGTGTCCCCTGTGTCGACGTCAACGATGACAATGTATTGGAATGCAGTTGGCCAAACCCGAATTTCTGTAGAGAACCACCCTCGTCTTGGTCGGTACTTTGCGTATCAGCCAAAAGAGTACTGGCGTTATGTCAGTGCGAGCGACTTGGGCAGTTTATCCTATTCATACGCTGCAGATGATCTATTCGCTTTACTTAAACTTCAAGGTTTGGCGTGTCCTAAGAGCCACATAAGGAAACTGTATGAGCTCAACTATGTAGATGTGCCAGTCTCCGCTGACAAGAAAAGCAAAGCTATCGGACGCAACTTCAATTTGTTCCAGGACATTTATGAAGCTGCATTAATAAACGCTAGCACTCACGCTGAAGCAATTGATCAGAGTGAGACATTGGATTGCCTCTATTATGACGAAAACTACGGTGTAGATGACTTCAAGCCTGAGTTTCGTGCAAATTGGAACCTTGCCAGCACTGCGCACACTCTTTGCTCTAATCGTGTTCGTGAAGTGAAGGCTGGTTCAAAACAGGTCAACGTTCGACGCTGGAAGGAGAAATATCAATTTCACTACTTTAAGATGACAGATGATCAGCTAGCGAGTGCATCGGAAATCACATCAACAGATGAAGCAGCGATTATTGATACCAGCTTTAACTCTTCGACAGAGTCAACTCCGATTACTACGACGTCGAGCATGTAGACATTAATCCAAAACGACACAACCTCGCTCTTCACCTTAATGCCATATACGTGAGCAGTTAGCATAAAAAACCACTATGCGTCGTAAATCTTATTTGAGCTATGCTTCAGACTTGTAATAAAAATGTTTTTGGAGATTTTACTGCCGCAGCTCTCATTTGTACTTGACAAAAAAATTCCACCTAAGACGATACCAATTAGGCGCGATTTAAACGAACACTTTAATACTCCTTAAGCGTCAATCTCGGCACAATGTTCATGGCCTGCAGTTCCTGGAAAAGCAGCTTGCAGGCATAAGGTATTTGGATGCTGACAACTTTTTCCTCTGTTTTGCAATACTGACACCATCCTTCGTAACCAAGCATGCGGCAGCCCTGGCACACATCTGCGGTAAATGCATCACTAGATAGCATGAGTCGTTCCATGAGCAACATACTTGCGCCATAACCGATCAGACAATCGCGTTCCATTTCACCAAGACGCAGACCACCATCTCGGGATCGACCTTCAGTTGGTTGACGAGTCAGAACAGCTCTAGGTCCACGAGCGCGAGCGTGCATCTTGTCCATCACCATATGTTTGAGTTTTTGGTAGTAAATTGGACCCATGAATATGTAGCACTCAATCACCTCGCCCGTGATTCCAGACGTAAGATAATCCTTGCCGGCATAGTTGAAGCCGTTCTGCACCAGTTCCCGCGAACAATCTAATACGTGATCAGCCGAGCCATACTTTTCCCCAAAAGCCGTACCATAAGCACGACGGCCTGTGAGAACTCCAGCCTTCCCTGCAATCAACTCAATCATCTTGCCTACTGTCATACGACTAGGGAAACCATGTGGATTCATGATCAGATCGGGGCAAATTCCCTGATCATTGAAAGGCATATCTTCCTGGTTGCGAATTGTACCACAAACACCCTTTTGACCGTGACGACTACTAAATTTATCTCCGATCTCAGGTCGACGGGTCTGACGGACTAACACTTTCACTAAAAAGTGATTGGCCTCCGAAGAAGTGAGAAGCACTTTGTCCACATACGCTGGGATAGGTCCCTTATATGTAGTTGGCGATGGCGAATACGTTACGTCTAGCGGATCACGTCCATCAACCGAGTCATTAAATTGAGTGGGCTGCTCCTTATTAACGATTATCGCGCCATTTTGGACAATACCACCAACACGACTGATACCATCAGCGTCGAGAGAAGAAAACTTTGCGCTGCGAAAGCCCATACTCGAACCAACGGATGTACCAAGGCTGTCAAAATCAGGCGGCCCCACAATGCGATCATATGACCCATTCGCGTACTTTTTGATCATAGTCTGGTATTTTTTAAATACCATACAGCGTCCAAAGCCACGATCTAGCGATGCTTTGTTGAGGACGATAGCGTCTTCAATGTCGTAACCGGAATAACTCATGACAGCCACGATTGCATTTTGTCCTGCTGGTACATGGTCGAAATTTACAAGATCTAGCACACGAGTCTTTACCATGGGCATCTGCGGATAGACCATAACGTAAAGCAAAGTATCGATCCGCTCAAATTGATTCATAGCAATAGTACCGATCGCTTGTTTGCCCATAGCACATTGATAAGTGTTACGTGGAGACTGATTATGGTGCGGATACGGAATCAGACCCGACACCACACCAAGAATTGTTACTGGATCGATTTCAAGATGAGTCGTGAGGTTGCCAATCTCGCTTTCGTGCAAGGCCACAAGACAATTATTTTCCTCGTTTACATCCACGTATTCCACGCAGCCTTCAACAATGAGGCTACTTAGATCACGTACGCCAGCACGCAACTCGTCTAAATGACGCTGTGTTAGGCGCGTACGATGCGTTAAGGGATCAATGAGCAGTAGAGGACGGCATACACGACCACTGTCAGAGGCTATGTAAACCACACGCTGCACATCGTGTATCATGACGGAGACGAACTCGCCAATGAGACCTGCACGTCGAATACGACGCAGACGGGTAACAAAGGCACGTGGGTTCACATGAGTGCCGATTATCACACCATTTAATATCACTAAATAATTAGACGCGTGGTTGATCTCTTCTCCAGAACTCAGTGATACGTCAGTCACTCCTAAGTCGAAGCATAGTCTCTTTATCGGAGCCGATTCTTCATCTGACGTCACGTGGCACAGTAATGCTAGATTTTTAACAAGACCACAAGCTTCGCCTTCGGGTGTATCCGCAGGACACAGCATTCCCCACTGAGATGGCTGCAACGACCGAGGACCAGAAACTTTACGAGTCTTTTCAAACTGAGACGAAATACGAGTCATCATGCCCAGCGCCGACATGTACGAGAGGCGCGAAAGCACGTGGGTGACACCAGCACGGTCCATTCGAAAACGTTTTAGCGTCCAATTACCAGTCGAAAGCGCATGGTAGAAACCTTGTGTAATTGTGTCAGTACGAACACACTTGATAATGTCAAATACCGACGCACGGTTTGGTTTACTTAACACCATGTCCGCCTGACGCTTTAAGTCGCTGTTAAAGCGCTTAAAAAGATCCTCGAAAAGCAACGACAGCAACTGACCGGCCAGCTCTAGCCGTTTATTACCATAGTAATCTTTGTCATCCAAACGAGTTCGATCCTTATCCGTAAAGAGAATCCGTCGCACGATATGTGCCACATAGATGCTTTTGAGTCGAAAATTGTAGTTCTCGCACGGAACGTGGTTCAACAACAAGTAAGCCAAAGCCGAACGCGCAGCATCTACCAAGCTACGTTCTTTTTGCGGACGCCCAGCACCACGATGTCGACCTCCCGTCGTTCCAATTTTGGTGAGAGTATTCATCTTGGACCCAATGAACTCAAGCGCTTGCTGCTGAGTAAAAATCTTCAGATCCGAGGCTTCTTCGAAAGTTGCAGACATGGCATCACAAATATCGGGTTCACTGCCAACCAAACTGACAATTTCTTGATCACTCTCTACTCCCATTCCTCGAAAAACGATGACAATCGGGAGATCACTTCCGAACGAATTAGACTTTAAGTAAACGCGGCCTTTGTTCAAAAAGATATTGGTTCTTGACTTGCGTTCATGTGTGGAACTAGTAATACTGGCACACACATTGCGTTTAGCGTCCTCTTCAATGATAACTCGATTTTTTGACAGCTGTTCGTGGATCAGCACAACCTTCTCCACACCACGTACGATGAAGTAACCTCCTGGATCATATGGACACTCTTTCAGTTTAGCCAATGCAGCCTCACTCTTGCCCGCAAGAACACAGCGCGCGCTACGCAGCATGATGGGGATGCGACCAATAAGTACCTTGTTATTTGTTACAATTTTGTTACCACGACGGTAGCGCACGCTCACGTAAACGGGTGCAGCGTACGTGCGATCACGAAGACGACATTGATGTGGCGTAACGCTAGTGCTCACGAAGGCTTCTTCGTCAATAGATGGTGCGCCGAGTTGAATGTCTGTATATTGCAAGAAAAACTTAGGGTCAGCGTCGCTGCGGACGACATTGTTGGCCTGCGCGCGCACAATATTGCGAATGTCAATGGAAGTAAAGTAGTCAAACGAGTCAATGTGCTGCTTCACAAGTCCTCGTAACTGCAAGAAATACGGGAGCAATTTCCATTTGTCCTTTAAACTGCTTACAGGCTTCTCAAGATCCTCCATGGACACAGCAGACGGTGGTGCCATGCCTAAGGAAGGCGCCATGAATGCTTTCGAGTGCGCAATTGCCTATATGAATTATTGGTCGCCGGTGAGTAGTGTAAGGGACATAAAATTTGATATTAATGTAGCCATTAGCTTCAACAATGCAATTACATGTACGATGCATTATACGCGCGTTGCTTCTTTTGTTACGGTAATTGGCTATGCACACTTGAACAAAGTATGTAAATTGCCATTCTCTGATGCCTCTTTACTGTGGACTTTCACATCGCGGACCATTCGTGTCCATTGGTACCTTTGCATTTCGTAGATGTGCCAGCAACTCTGTCAAGAGGGATCCTTGCGCACGCAGTACATCCAACAGTGCTTGCCGTTCCGTCTCGTTTTGCTGAGCTTCTTCTTTTTGCCAAGCCAACTTCTCCTCTTCTAGAATCACACGTCGCTCCTCCAATTGCAATTTACGTTCATCAAACTGCGAGATCGTATCCAGTGCTCGCTCTACCCGAGATCGTTTGCCCTCGTGCACAGTCGATATCGACATTCGCAAAGGTCGCTTATTGCCATTCTGCTGCACTTGGGACACTGTGGAATTTTGAGACACTGAATCGGGGCTGGCACGACTAGATATGGTTGAGGTTGGCGCAGGGGCAATGGGCATTAAGGAAGATGTTGGCGGCACAGTCGTATTGGGCAGGGTAAGTCCTATTGACGGTGATGCAGTCAAACTAGCGGATCCCTCAAGCTCTTCCAGGTCACGCTGTGCAGCCTGCAAAGCCGAATGCACGCGCTTCTCTCGCATGGCACCTTTATTAAGCGTCTGCTCGTCCACCTGCATAGCCAGCATAAAGACGTGAGATCTGTAATTCGGAATGATTCAGTAAGAGGAGCGTCGCACCACTCGTGCTAGGATGCCCAGAAGCTTATTGCGCATGTCAAATTCCTCAGGAGTTCCAGATCCGCGCAGAGCAGATAATTCATTTTTGCGAAACGCTTCCAACAGCATGTCGATGCGTCGCTTAACGATAGCATGATCCAATGCGCTTCCACGCGTGAAAGTCACACCTTTCATTTCCTCGAGCGTCGATTGTACACGCGTGGCTACAGCCATCCAGGCAGAACGCGTACGTCCATAACCCGCAGACCACGGGAAGTCGTGAATCACCTCGCGCACGAGCACGACATCAAAGGCAGGCTTGAAGCGGAAGAGACGTCTCTTCCCGCCTAACGTATCATCATCATCATCACCTCGAGAATCGTCCATGTCATGCTGATCATCGTGCTCGTTCTCGTTCTCGTCGTCTAAACCTTGTTCGAGTTCCTGCTCCTCGTTTAACTCGCCCTTCAGCGTTATCTCGGTGTCTTCGTCGCGCGTCATAAGGAAAATGAGTGACTCAAAATTACTATGCGGTTGTAAAAGGGCGCGAAATGTTTTTTTCTAGCACAACATTTGAAAGTTTATATTAATATCTGGACCTGTATAAATAGAAACACAATGTAAGGCAAAATGATACTGAGTTTGAATTGCGATTTTTTGTAGATAATGAAAACATTTCAATATCAATTCAAAAGAAGTCTAATATTTACACAGTGGAGGTTCTCGCACGGTGAACCACCATCATCGTGCGAAAACGCAATGCACTCTTTGATTTTGGTGTCCTGTTCGAAATTCTCCGATCCTAGAGTGTAACGGGGTTACTCGTACCCTGGTAACAGGGGTGTGGGTCACACGGGATGGGCATGGTGTGACTGCACCCAAACAAGAATACGGTATGCCAGTAGTTATGCATGTATTTAGATTCTACTATATCTATATTTAGAAAGATCTATACATTTAGAATTAGGCGGTTTTGCCGCAAATAAAAATAAATAAAAATCAGTTTTGAATTTTAACGGAAGAGTAATTAGCCTTGGTTAAGGCAATAATTACTCTTGGAGTAAGCGGATTACGATCTGCCGCACTAGTACTTGGTTCTTGTAAAGAACGAAAGGTTGGTGACCAAAATTATGCTTCCTCAAGCGCTAAGTTAAGGCAGCCCCGCTGCACTTGGAAGCACTTGTAGTCAATCTACACCTGAGTCGTTTAGACTGATCCTCTGTGAGGATGGAA